CTTAAACTGTCTCTAACCAACAAGGAATCAGTAGTTTCCTTTGAAAACAAGAATAAACACAATATGTATACACACAAACTATATCCTCCAGTGGGCACTGACCTAAATGTTATCCCTAAATGTCCTGCCGTGTTAAATAACATACGGACAATAAATCAGTATCGATGCACCCGTCCGCGCTACTGCTTTCGAAGGAAGCTAACCAGAAGCAAAGTACTACCAAGCTATCGGTACGCTCGATCACGGAACCGTCCCGCAGAAGGAAACAAATGACCAGCGGAACGACGGAACGTCATTTGACAGGCGCAAGGACCCGTGAAAGTGGCCGTGGTCGTCACTCGGTTATTCAGAGCTTGTTAAGCTCCCCATCCACACTTCTTCCTCCATCTTGCCTGCGCTCCACCACACCTCCTCCCACCTCGTGATCCTTTATCTCCTGTTCCGAGTGCCCGCGAATCGCATCGATCTTCATTCTGCATACTTTAGCCCCGGAAACTCCGGCGTATTAAGTGAGGGGAAAGGGAGGGGGGTGGTTGAAACAGGCCAGGAATACGAGCAGCACGTGAGCCTATCCGTCTCCCAGGCATCTCTCCTGCATTTAATCAACGCCTCTGGTTAATAGACAAACTCGATGCGGGGAACGATGCCTCTTGATGGTAACGCATCCCGGGGCTGGAAAACGGCCGGCTTTGGAGGGGGAGAGGAGGCGAATGGGTGGAAAAGGGCGTCGCCTTCAAATTAAACGACGAAACAAACGGCTAATCATGCATCCCCGCGGGAGTGGGACGCGAGAACGAGGGGGATGGGCCTCAGATGGATACAAAGTGGGGCCGACGTCGTTCTCTACGTTCTCGTTGTTTCGCTTCTTCCTTTTTGCCCCGCCGCGACCCTCCTCGCAAGAGGGTCGTCGGGCGGGGAAGGTCGAACACGCTCGGCACGCTTCCGCCGAGGGCGGAAAACAGCACCCTCCTGAGAAATATCAGGCAACTACTTCACTCTACGCGCCGCTATTATTTCGTGCCACGACTGCTTCGTGCTAGGCCCTTCCCGCCGCGCGAGAATTACCGCGGACAGAATACACCGGGTGAAGGTCGGGGGATTAATTGACAACTTTCACGGGGATTTATGATTCCGTTCTATCATCCCCCGGAGGTCTTGGCGACTGCCGCCGGATTAAATTGTTTCGCGAATGATCACGCGACTCGGACTGATTCTTTCGGTTTTGGTGGGCTGCGAAGAAACTTGTTACGGTGAGTCCTCGATGAATGCTACACAGGGAACTGCGGCACTCCCACCATCGGGGGAGTCCCCCTTTGGAACCAATCAAAACAGAGTAAACAGAAATCACGTAGAGGCTCGGCTTCGGGTGGAAAACAGATTTATGAGAGACTGAAAACTATTCTCCCTTGTTATGAATGTTTTTAAGCGGATCCAAGTACGTCGCACTCATGCAGACATTACTGTACTTTCACTTTCTTTGTTGCTTTGCAGATGTAGTGAAGAATCAGTGACGATTTAGGGAAATTGGGGTTCAGTCTACGGTGAACACGTGTACAGAAATGACATCAGTGCTACACATACACGATACACTACTATACACCATCTTCTAGAGAAACACTTCCTACAAAGGTACCAAGCTACACTAAGGCTTAAAAGTTGTACTTAACTAAATGTGTATTGTATAACATAAAATATGATAGCATAGGTCTGTCAAGTCCAACGTGTTCTGTACAGGGTTAAGAGTAGTTTATAATTCTAGAGCGTTTCCAGAAAGACAAGGAATGTCACAAAACAACTTTATTGAGAAAATCAATTTCTATTAATACTTTAGTTGTTCAGTGTTTCTAATCAGTAGGTATGTACACCAAATCTTTAACATTATTGTCCCGTCGTACAGGTATAGTGCTTCATAGCACCAGCTATTATTTTATAACAAAACTCCAATTTAGCTATTCAATCTCCCGTAATAACAAGCGCGTTTATTTCTTGTCCGTTTCATTTCAATAGTGTACCTTTATAATCTTTTCGACACTCTTATACAATAGACAAAGGTTTCAACATTTGGTCGGCAGCCGGTCCCGGTCGCGTTGTACCACGGAGGCGAAGAACAATATCGCCAAAAACTTGTACCGTTGGGTGACTCCCGCAACCTCGGCGCGGTCAAGCCAAATTTGGCCACGTGATTTTAATTATTTGCAGGCGTACGTTTTGTTCCTGAGGAACCTTTTCCTCCACCACGAACCTCGGGAAATCCAAGATATATCCCTACTCCTTCAGAGTCCAACCAATAGGAATTCGTGATTTTCGAAAACGTTGTTGACAAAGCATATCGCCAACGAGGGTGAAGTACGACGTCAGAAGCGCCCCCGAAGTTTTTTAAATATCAGACTCAAACCAGAACTCACCTGGTGAACATTACACATACACAGAATATTGTAAATACAGTAATTAAGAACCAATCAAAGTGTGCTTTATTTTTGGTTTCACTTCTAAGGTTCGTATAACGGTTCGGCGATTAAGTACGAGCAATGCGCGACCTAACAATTATCTAATATGGACATTTCCGTTCTGCAACTCTTTGTGATTCGACGGTTCTGTACTCCCAGTTGCCACTACCGAAATGCATTATACATACCCCGTAAAATCACTGAAAATGGACATTACTGGTTTTTCTCCTGACCCCACAAATGTGATCGAAATTACTGTCTGCTTGGGAAGAGAATGATTCCTCCGGGCAAAAGGAAGTAGAATTACTGACGTATGGTCAGAGATTGCCGGGGCATATTCGGTAGACTATACTATACGACAAATTTCCAATATTGTTGTTTCACTTTCTGTATTTATGTGCGTATAAGTTTGAAATTTATACATACCAATTGCCTTTGTTTCAATTTACACCCTTGTGTACCGATCTTTATTTCTGCGCTAATTTATTGTAATTAACATTACTGATTATTTATGAACAGGTGGAAACCACTCACGAAATAACAGATTTGTAGTTAACAAATGGTAAAAAAAATGAAGGAGACAGAAATTTATCTAACTTTGCTCAAAGTACATACTATCACTTATAATAGTGTTAAGAACTGAAAGTAAACTTCTATCATATAAAGATGATTCGAATGCTTCTGAATTAATAATACGAATTTTCACACACTACGCGACGGGAATGAAACTACCAAAGCCGAAGTACCATTTTAGGCACTGGAAAGTTTCTATTCCATGATAGTATAAAAATCTTAAATTTATATTTTTACGTAGGACCACATCAAATAAATTTAATTACATATAAATTATGCATCCTCAATAGAGAAGTATTGTAACTTCTACAAAAAAAAACCAATGAAAAAAACCATCCGAACGTTCAAAACAACCGAGAATCTCCTCGCATTCCCATCCAATGCCCGAATCCCGCAAATCCCGTACCCGGAACACGTTCTAATCTCCATTTTCCAATTTCCCTCCATTGAACCCCAGCCGAAGTTACGCACACGGTAACGAAAAATCGAACCGCTGGGATAACATTGCTTCACTGTGATCGCGACTCCGCTAAAACTGATTAAAGATCGACTTCTGGGGAGTGGAGGGATGCAAGGGACGATACAAGGGGGCGTTGCGGGGCCGATGGTAAAAAAAGAAAAACTTCGGTTTTCTCCGGAGCCTTTTCCTCTTACCCTGAAAGGGCTCAGCCGAGCATTTAGTCCGACGAAAATTGTTCCCGGGTGTTACTTTATTACTCCGGTGTTCTTAAAGGCAACACCCTCCCGCCAAAGCCCCCTGATGGCGTGTGCCGCCCGACGAGAGTTGCCCTTCGAGGGCCGCTTTTTATCTTTTCCGCACCAAGGCGCGTCTTTCTTTACACGGTTTTCCCGTGTAAACCCCCGACACGCTCAAAGACGAAGCTGTCAGCCCCTTCCCCTCCCTGGGAAGCAGGCGGCGGAGCGGTGTATCGGCTTTATACGCAACTATTTAGGCGAGGTATACGTGTTTCTTGCAACGTTCGGGATTCGCTTCAAAGAGCCTCGCGTAACGAGAAGCCCACCCTCTTCTATTCGGTTTCTTGCGTCTTTTTTCCACGGGAAATCCGCCTTCTGTTCCTAATGAAAATTTCCTTGTTGACGGGGTACCGGAATTTAGTGAAAAGAGTTTTTCCTTTAAGAGTTGACTGTGGAATTTAGACATCGTTACTCTTTGGGGGCTATACTGTACTACGGTGATACAGGTGGACTGAGCTCCGTATTACAATTTCGTGTTTGGGGATTTAGGGCAACTTGGTGGAATTAATAATTTTGTAGTAGTCTGCCGATAACTAACTGGAACGATAAAAATAAGGTCCTAGTATGTAAGAGAAGTTTAATCATACATGGCTCGTACGAAGTGAAGGTAGAGAACATAGGACACAGATTTTCCATATGGCAGTAAACGTGTTAAATATTCTACTTTGTAATTGAAAATAACATTTGATAAGTAATTCTGTTTATTGTAAGACTAATTTAACCCCCTAACGAAACCCTTAAATTGTTATTGGAAAATTATAATACTGATACATGTGTTGTATCTTGTTATTGTGAAATCGAATTATCGATATTAAACCGACCTATTTTTCAATTTGCTTTAATTTATTTTTAGAGGGAATACTTGAATTTCTCAACCGAAAACGTTGAGATCTACTTCACATCAGCGAAACTACGGACCCTTGTTGATAAAATTTTGATATTAATTGGCTTTTAAAATGAGTGTTGCACCGGTGCAACACTGAGAGATAAAGGGCTAACCAATTGTAAAGAACTGCATGCATTACAAGTAGGAAATATAGTTGCCAGTCTCGCTGTTCAGTAACTATCGCTGAAAGTTCCAACTTTGAGCGTGGAAAATTTGTGTGAATCTCGTCCAGAATTCGACGCCATAAAAGTTCCTGGCTAGACGGGCTACTAATTTGTGCGATATTACCTCGGTTCGAGACTGGGGAAGAAGAAATTGTCGAGTGGAAAGGTACTTACTGTCCAGCCATTTCGAGTCGTACTTCAGTGTCCTCTTGAAGCTGAACTCTTTGCGACGGCTGGTTAAATTGTAGAGATCCGTGCGGAAGATTACGGTATCGGCCTTCGTGAATTCGGCATTGGTGCCGGAATAAAGAGCTGGCAAGTCACCAGGATTGCCCTTTTCCACCCAGACGGCGGTCGAATTGTCCGCAGGGTCGTAAGGACATTTCGCTATACCCATACCGACGCCTGGGACGTACTCGTGACGGGATAAATGGGTCAGATTGCTCTGTGGAGAAACACACGAGGTGATTTATAGATAAAAATGATCGTTCGCTTAATAGTAGGTATCTTGATAAGCATTACGTTTCATAAGATTGAAGTAATGCAGTCTTGTCGATGAAGCTTAGTAACACAGTTTTCTTGCATTCCCTTTCTTATTTAAAAAGGAAAAGAGTAGTAATGATAAGTGTACCAGTAAGTGATCCACTATTTCTTTTTAATAAAGTAGTGACGCAGTTCAAATTTAAAACATTATTGCACCATGTACTTCTTTCGAAATGCCGGAAAACATTAAAAACTGAGGACAAATCTTACCGAAACAAAATAGGTTCTTGATTTCGTCGAAAATAAGTATTGAAGTTGACAAAATAGTGGTCATAATTATTATAAGATCTTTTTTTTTTAAGAAAAATGTGACTATTTTATTTAATGATCGTGACTAATTGCCAGGAGCAGGATCAGTTACAATAATAAAAAGTATAATTAAATAAAAATAGTTGTGTTAAACCTTTACTATCCCAGTAAAATAAAATAATACAGTCCACATAAGAAAAAGTAAAGCAACACCAGATTTGATAGTAATTTCATAAGGGAAAGAACAATGTACTCTAATTAATCAGTAAAAAAGCTTATTCTAATGAAATGAAAGATATATGTATTAAATGTATTATTTATGACACTTTTCATTTGAATTTTATAAATTTTGGTGGATTGCAGATATGGGCAGCTGCATGTGTTATGCACTAGTAAATTAGAAATCGCTCGTTTATTTGGCTTTTCAGGTACGGTTCCGACAGGGGAGGGTCGGTGAAAGATACGACGAGTGCGCCTATTGGAAAATTTGGGGCCAAAACAACGCGTTTCTACGCGAAAGCTGCGCATTACCGCGCCGAGACTCAATTACACGCACGGGAGTCGTAATCTTCGACAAAGCGAGACCAATATATTCTTTGACTTCATTACACGGGTACTTGAGCGCACGATTCATTTACCACGGTGCATAATTCTGGCCCGGTGGGATTGCGTCGGTGACAGATTCAATGTGAAAACTCAACGAAAAAGATACAATAACTGTTTGTAATTTCTTATCAAAATCACTGAAATTCATAGACGTGAATTTTCTGAAATTTTTTCTGATTTTCTTTGCAATATGTAACTGAATAAATTATGCTGGTGTATCAAATATTATTCTCTGAGAAACTTAATAGTTTCTATAGGTTTGGTAGAAATGTATTCCGATAGTTGGTAGTCTTTTAATGTTAATAATATCACCATTCTATGTTTTCTATTTGACAAAGCTCAAAGGACATATGTAAATTAAGACACGGTGAATTTTTTGCTACGTTAACCATCTACAGAATGTCAAGCTTTCACTCACTATTTTCAGACACATTCGATTAAATTTTCAAGTATAACATATTTTTATCATTATTTTATCTATATGAATCATGGATTTTATACGTTAATTGCACACAAAGTCCGTAAGACACAGTAAAATTAACAAATTCCCCGCAGCATAACGACACTTTCACGTCGTATCTATCTCACGAATAAAATTCCGATTGAACATTATACATTTTTACTCAGATTTCCACAAGAACTTTTATTTTTCACAAATAATCATAGCCTAATTACCACAATAATTTACGATGTCTAACACAACCGATGCAATACAAAGAAAGTGTGCAACTACTCTCAACAACCCCTCCTTATTCTCGATCCTCCTGCTTCTTCCGACTCGATAGTCAAGCACCGCGTACATACGTTCCGTAGTATCCCCGATGAACAACAAACAGAAGAGATACTTACATAAATCACCCAATCCTTGGGTGAGTGAGCGTTCGTGCCGCACATGTAGAGCCGATTACCGTCCCCCATTGGCTGGATCACCCTTATGTGATTCCGGCAGTCGAAGTGCTGCAGAAGAAGGGGAAGAAAATTGAATTTTCGGTTGATACGTGCGAAGAAACGCGGTGTATGTGTGTGCGCGCAGCGAGGACAAGAGTTTGATGCACGAACACGGTTTTTTGCAGAAAATTATATTGAACGGAATCGAGGCGAAAGGGTTTGGGGCGCCGTGATCGATCACATCGGTCCCGTATTTCGGACGGAATCGTCGTCCGCGCGGAAAATAAATTGGTTTTGTCGTCACGTAGAGAATATTTGCGTGGACCTTACACCTCGATGGTGTGTGCAACGTGAATACGAATGAAGAGGTGATAAGCGACGGAATGAACACACGCGTGAATTTTACACCCGTTTCCTCCGACTTCGAGATGATAAAACGCTGAAAAATTAACCATTTGTTATCGGTATCTTTGTTGAAATGTTCTGATCTACAATGCAAATATAGGGGAGCGGTGGGATGAAAGGGATATTTTTGTTTTCGAACAAAATATAAAAAAAAAACTGAAAGAATATTCTACTTCTAATTGATAATGTTGGAAAGTTTAGCAACCTGGTTATAACTGTACTTGGTGATATTATTTTTCCTTATTTTTCCCTTTTTAAAAGAATGTATTTTGTCCCTTTCATAAATTGGTTGCATTGAATGGGACGGTGTAATAAAAGAGAATAATATCAATATTAATACTTTAATTATTATTTCATCAGCTACCAAAATCACAATATTATCGATTCGATTCTTCATCAACATAAATACTATACTACTACCAACATACTTATAACAAAATTTAGATTAAACTTACATTACTTAAGAAACAAAAATAATCCTTAAATTAAAGAAGAAAAAATAATTTTTCGATCAAAAATACAATATAATTCTTAAATTAATCAAAGTTAACAGAATAACACAATATTAATTATTTAATGGTACAATGACCAAAAGAAATTAAATACGCCTTTTATACCGCTTCTTGTATTTTGTCTGCACTAACACGATCTCGTTTTTTAGGTGGCATATTTAAACTGAAAAAAATGAGGAAAAATATTCAAAATAAGGTTTGTTTAATATAAAAACGGTGAATGTTCCTAATCATAGTAAAGTTTTGAAAGAGATGTTCCATTCATAAACTTTCGTTGTGGCCTTTTCATAAATTTGGCAACAAAATTGAAAACCTAACCAACAATTAACAGAGTATTAAACAAAAGATACCGGACACTTCATGTTACTGTTCTTGAACAAATACATGTTCACATGTGGTAAGAAAGAAATTAGTCGGTAATAACAACACTTCACAAAATGTTTCGACGAATTATCAGAAGTTTTATTTTTGATATGCATGAATGTCGCTAGAAAACAAAAAGATTGGGAATTTATAATGGAAAATTTATAATGTTCCTTTTAACACGCGTCCCTTTCATCCCACCTCTTCCCTACATTGAATGTACGAATCACTGTTTTAGTGAGAAATTTTAGTAAGTATCAGTAAGATTGTATAGAAGCTGGATGTAAATCACGAATAAATTTATTGTAATGTATTCTAGGTAGCTGATGTTTATTCTGTCTTCCGCTGAACTTTGATTAGTTCTCTCGATTGAAGATGTCGATCAACTTTAATATTTTCTCGTGGTACTTACGAAAGCAATTTTAATTACGAAACTTTGTATACCACGATCCTATTTTCAGCCATATAAGAATTGTTTGTAATGTAAAAATTACTTAATTTACAATAAGTATTTTAATATATTGAAACACCTTATACCGTACCAACATTACACCTTAACCACACGAAGACAAACAAAATCTTTCACCATATACATAATATGTAGTAATTCGAAGTTTTTTTCGTTGCTGTGAAAGATAGAACCCGATGGCGGAATTTAACATATCCCTCCGATATCAAATTTCGAAGTGTATACTTCGAAGGTCGAGGAATGGAAACGCGCTGGCGCTATCGCAGCCCATTTATTTTACATACAGAACGAGGAATAACAAGAGTAACGAAGGTATTGTGTTACCGGTTCCTTCAAATGAACTCGAATTACTTTGCTTCACAAAGAACGAAGGTAACGACGATTCCGAACGTGCTCGAGTTTCCTCCCTTTCCCTTTTCGTTTTTTAATCAAATATATCATACGCAATTTCAAACGACCGCTTCTCCGACCGCTTGTAATTATACCTTTAACTTGAATTCCACCACGAAATGTAACACGGTCCTTTTCCCTTTGTTTCGGAGCCATTGTAATCGGTCAAAGGACAAAGTATCATACTTTATTTCGCTTATTTTCGTCCCCAAAGGCAGGAAAAAAAGTCTAGGAATCCCTGCGACTCAACCGTTCGTAAAACTATTCTAACTCGCTCGTGACGTGTCCAATTGTCCATCCCTCCACTCTTTTTCCCTCCCAGCTTTCGTTTTACATTTCCGTAATTACGCCACCCTTTTGCCTCTATCCGTGACGGACGGCGTTAATTACATTAACTCGATATTAAAATACCGCTGCGGAAGGAAAAACTCAGCGATAAGTAATAAGTACAGAAAACAGGAGTAGAATGCACAGCTCACCTCTGACTTCCCTTTCGACACGCAATTCGCTACGTTGCTAGGCTCCAGAGTCATCGCGTCCCTCTGCAACAGAAAAGATAGAAAAGTGTTAAGTTACTTTCCTTCTTATTTTGTACCTTAATATTTAATTAAAATAATCTATTTCAATTTCTTTGAATGCGTTCACTGACGCTTCGCAAAGTCCTCAGCCCGATTATCTTATTGTTAGTGCTTTGCAACCTCACATCAAACCGTTCTTACTGGCACAAGATAGTACAAATATGCCAGAAGCAAGTTAAGATCTTTCTTCCAAACTAAAAGTAGATTTCTTAAATATATTAAATATATTATTATCCTTTTGAATCGCAACGCAAGAAATTTCAGACACCATTCTTTGGTTAGAACCTTTGAAAACTTGCGGACAACACCCATTGTACAACGTGTGACGTAAACCGCTGCGGAAAACCACACGGAAGGGCAAGGCATAATCAGAAGGTTCGAAGGTTTTATGGATAAATTATTATAGATAATTATTTATTATTACTCTTAAGAATAACTCTGTAGGATCACCACGAAGGTAATCTCTTTCTGCCCTTATACACCTCTGAAAGCTTATTTTCCCATTTTTAATATCGCGATCGTGTCACGATGAATTCGTGATCGCCACTGTTCATTAAGATCTTAATATCACGGAGCTCGTTCAAGGGTGATGTAATTTTTGAATGAGTGAACACAAACTTCAATACTCAAATATGTAAATTGAATTCATATATAACAATGTGCTATGCAAGTGTGTACTAGTCATGCTCTGTGTAATTTTTGTTTTCTTATTGATAGATGAGTGTGTACTCTGTGACTGCTGAATGTGTTCTATCGGTTGTCGATGTAGTCGCTCGTTGGTACTGATCAGCTTATGATTGGTCGTACGTAATTTTGTTAGTGGTTGAAATGAAGAATTCTGAGTTTGTAAGTTCTGTAGGTATTGTGCTATGGCGTAGAAGGAATGGCACTTAGCGTGCCTATTGTTTTCTAAGATTCCTAGAAATCAGCGTCAAGATGCAACGGTCTTTAGGGAAACTGACTATTTTACACGTGAGACGTAGTTGTCCAGGTGTCCCTAACGGTCTGGCGTCCCTATAGACGAGCCCAAGACGTGACAATATTTGAGACCCTTGATTACCTGACTCAGGTCGCAACAATTAAATAAGTCACATCAGTCATAATATCCCAGCACCGAAAAAAGCTCCCGATTAAAAGCGTGTAACGAAAAATTTAATTCCGCGAGGCGAGCGGAACTGGAACGATCATTAAAGAACAACAAACGTCGAACAACCCCACGAGGAACTCACTTACAACGCGTACTCGTGGCGATGTACTTTTTAAACTTCATTGGCCCTGTTCATTTCACAGTGTCCTCTATGTCCTCGATAGTCAACGAGAAATTCGAACCCAGGGTCGCAAGACGTTGAATGCCTGAAGAAAATGAATGTTTCCTCATTGGAACGGCCGTTGAATGACTCGACTCGCCGAGGTAAAATTCTATTTGGGCTGTCATAATTACGAGTCTTTTCGAGGGGATCCACGCTCGGGACCGTTCTCGCTCGTTTCACGCTCGCCATGTATCACGCACCAAACGACTTGACCAAACCATCCCACCGTTTCGCCCTCCTTTCTTCGCTGGGCGACCTTAGACGACCCCCGAAGAGGTGTCACGAGTGCATGCTTCACGTTTTCCAAGCGGGAAGAAGAGGCCACGCGGTGGGGCAGCACTCGTGTCATTGTGAGGATCGCGGCAGACGGCGTGATACACCACTCTCTCTCACGTCGCCTTTTCGAACGCTTCGCAAATGCGCCGCGGAAATAAGGTCAACAGACGTAGGCACGGAATAGGAAGCTCGAGGAGCCATCAAGCCCTGGTGACGGTCTTTCTGCGGGGAGGCGACGACACGGCTCTTTGATGTCGCGACTCGCGATTCCGAGGTTACCAGTATTTCGCTAATAACCCGTCTGACGTCTCTGTCGACGGTATTCGGATTTTGGTTGTTTGTTTGGATCACGGGGAAACTGTTTGTACGCCGGAGGATCGGTCGTACCCGGTTGCGCTGACTTTTATTCGTGAATGTTGATACGCTTGAAATGGTAGAGATTAATCGTAGTGATACCAAGATGGGGTACTATATGCCATATTTGCTGTTCCGTGAATTCTTGTTTAAATGATTACTTTAGAATTCGGGAAAAGTTGGATATTATGCAAAGATATCGCTTTACACGAGAAATTTGAAAAATGGCGAGAAAGTAATGAAGATAGTCGCAGATCCGTGAAGGAATGCCACGGTGAATTTGAACTAGTACAATAGATTAAACACGACAATAGGTGAATGTGGTTCGTGTAACGTGATATGTATGTGGGGGCGCAGTAAGAAAACTGTTATGTCAGGTTTTTTATGATTGTCGAAGTGAAATTGACTGAATTGTCTGAAGTCTCAGTTCGAAATAAGTTCTGTGTTCTCAACAAAATTTCTGGCAACACTGTCTATTGACAATAAATGTGTTTTATTTTAATGGTATACTTGATTTTAAACACAGATATGTTCTAAACATGTAAGTATCATTCCCCGCCCGTTGGTAGTTCATGTGACAAAGAAAGGCTTGGTATTCCGAAGAATAGTGTACTATGTGGAGAAAGAAGTGGGTTTTTACTTGTGTGGAAATTAAGTTATGATGATGGTTCAATATACTACGTTATAATTTAAATTTTTTATATATTGTACTTACATTAAAAAATTAGTGGACAAAAGATTAGCACATTTAGTATATTGATTTTCAATAGAATTTGAAAGAATCAGGATGCTTCTTATATACATTAGGAGATAATTATTTCTTAAGCTTCATTTCAGGTGACATAGATTTGGAATCAGAAATGAAATAAATGACGGCAGACAGGTTTTAAATGAGAAAAGACGTCTCCGGAGCTTTGAGAGTAAGGCATGTCATTAAATGAACGAATGGCTGTCGATACAAGAGTTTTCTATGGAATATGTCAGAAATGATCACAGTATGCATTTTCTGAAACCACATCTTTTGAGAAATTCAATAAAGTATCATATTACCAAACCCGTCAGAACAATCTGGAGTAAATTTTTCTTCGATCAGTAAAGAATTGAAAATGTACGAGAAATTGAGGTTGTCATCCAACCTTTATTATGTGAAGAATTCTGTTTTTAGTACGTCTACAGATAGACCGAGAAGAGTTTATCGGCGAAATTAATGGAGCCATATTCGATGAATTGAGAACTAAATGAGAAAGCACACATTAGCCAAGCTAAATTAAACCTCGGAAATGTACAAGAATAACTTATTTACAATGTATTGGTTGTCACGTTTGACAAGTCAGTGATTTAATGTATTCGTAAGTAATTCTCAAAATTATCCGATTAGATATGATCATTGACCTGAATACGCTTAAAATTGAAACAAATCTAACATTTAAATATCTCCGCAGAAACGTGATGATATCTCTATTATATCTATTAGAAATATCGAATCGTTAAATCATTCAATCTTCATTTCCGTTTTAAAATAATCAAGACGAAATTTCGTTGAAATATTGACACTTCTGAAAATATCTATTGCGTCACTCGAATATCAAATACGTTATCACTTATATGTACCTATCTTATTATTCGTACCCGAAAAATAAATTAACACTCAGACACCACATCAGTGCCAATCTACACCAGCGAAACATTGTTTCGACTGTCCGTTTTGAAATTTACCATTTCTTTGTAACAAATTTTCATAATTAAAAAATTAATTCTCACTTTTGCAATGACCACCATTAAATTTCTCAGGATAATTTACCCTAATAAATATGTCATAAGTTAAAGTTGCTTTTGTTCTCCTCAAATTCTTAGATAATCATCAAAACTTTGAAATCCCAATTCGTATTACAGTAGTCTTACGTTAAAGTAGCGCACGTTAAAGTATCGGTGGAAACGCATTATACACACACGTGCGCGCACCCCATTATCGGTCGGCATCTGTAATTAAAGTTCTGATCCAATTGATGGATCGACCGAACCGCCACGAGATCCTGCGTGCCCATTAGGTCACGGTAAAGTAGCGTTCCTAGGAAAAGCCCGCCTCGAGAGCCCCGCACCGCTACTTTAACGTGAGTCTACTGTAGTGTGGTGTTCACATATGGACGACGGTGGGGTGTCGTTTCTGAGGGTGAAAACAGAAATTTATTGCAAGAATGTTTCTCTCACTGCCTTGGCCAAAATAAATACTACATAAGCTTTATGTAGTAATGCAATAAATACTTCAACCAGTCATGTACACGCGTATACCCTCGATATAATCGAAGGCGCTGTAAATCGCAGATCATCAGCTTGCAATCGTGTCACGGGTAAACCATCGAACACCCTCGGAATCACGGTCCTATTCACGAGCGAAGATCAAATATTCCCGGTGCTCTTGTACCGCCCTAACATAATTTAGAAAAACGGAAACCGCGAGTTCGCAAACCCTTCGACCATACATTTCGACGCCTTCGGAAGGGTCTCTCTATGCCCAACCCCTCTTTCAACCGAAGCGTTTCGTGCAGTGGCGGCGAGGAGAGGCCGTGGATACGATCCGGAAAAGGAAGTGGTTCGTTTGCACGGTCAATCGTCCGAAACGCGTTGGCCTTAACGATCGATCTCCTGCGGACGTCGCGTGCCGCTCCCCGGGCAGTGTCACGGCCAGAAACGGCGTTGATCCTCGAAATTGTCCTCGTCGAACCCGCCCCGCGTACACCGTTACCCGAAACGACCATCCCCCGAAAACACCGTTGACAGTGATCTACGACTAATAAATTAACGAAAGAATTGTTTTTGCCGGGCGCACGCGACGATATTTGTTATTCGAGCGATGCGGAAGACAGCGAGAGGAAGGGGAGACCAGGCGGAACCCGTTGAAACTGCAGGACTTCCGGTCCCGTGTGTGTGTGGCGGACAGGTAGCCATAAAAGTTGACGCGCGATGAATAGTTAGAAGGAGATGGACTTTTATCTCGTGGCGAAGACACCAGATATTGGTCTTGTT